ATTCGCTAAAAATTTTAATTATACAAACTTATATCACCTGTTGGAATTAAATTTACATGAGAATATAAATTTTGTAATGTCTACATAACTTTCTCATTCAGTTGCACACGGAACTATAAGTTGAATTTGTATAATCATCCCACTTATCCATCTCTGAATAGCTTATGCCATTCATCAGTTGAAATATTTAGGATTTCACTATTTATTCATTATAGTGATGTGCTGGATTGGTTTACAAGTAATTAAAAATACAGTTATTTTTTTTTTTTTTAATTACCAACTCTTGTGGCACCAATGCTCATGAATTCATATATGTGATAGTATTTATAATCCATTTATAATATATCTTCAAGATTTTGTCTTGTTGGATCTATGGATCTGTATTCTATTCCATTTACGATAAATCTTCTACATCATGTCTGGTTGCAATAATGGACTAGTGCAAATTTGAAACCCGCTTGATTGAAGTATGAATGTCAATTTCATATAGAAAATAAGATTGTGATTTGAATAAAGCTACAAATATTATAGATTCCTTCTAATGATTCAAGATAATGGGCAATTTTCGGATTTTTTTTTTTTTGTGTAAATAAAAAGACTGTGATTGGGGTTTTCTTTTGGCAACTAACGTGGATGATTTGGGGGCGTGTTTGATGAATGATTGAGTTCAATGATTATATTAATTGATGAGAGACGTATTTTTTCAGTTATCATTTTTACCATAAAAGTTGTAGTATTTTCCGTATAAATGATGTCTAATAGTAAAATATGAATTTAACCAAAAAACTATGTACGTGGTGAGATTTCCACTTCACAATCATAGCAGTTGCGAGATTAAACTGGGTGGTGTTGGATGGGTTATTCACTGGCACATTATGATCAAATAACATTGGACAAAGATTCTTTTAGACATTTTCAATTTTGCACAAGTCACAAAATTTCTTAAGCAATCTACATTAACATTGGAGATGTTATAAAAATTGGACTAAGAGAACCCGTCTCTTGTTTGAAATTTCTACTTTACAAAACCTTTAATATTTTCCGTCGTTAGGACCAATTGCTAGACCTCTTTCCAATTTGAAAATTCGAGAAAATGAGGATCAACACAAATTATTGAAACCTTCAATTGAACAATATTCTTGAACCTTCACATATAGCTATTTAAGTGTACCTAACTTTGAACGTCACCTACAATCTAGATAAATAGCATTACTCTAAAAGATGAGCAATTAACTTGATATGCTAACTGCCCAAAAAGGTGATTACATTATTGACAAATGATGCAAGAATTAACAACCTTCGGATTTGTTAAACACCGATGGCTTAACGTTTTAATACCCTGATGTGAAATTTCAATTAAGCATGTAGAAATGCTTTTATTGTTTCCCGTCATTGGGTAATGAATGGATTTTAAACAAATGTACCATATGGTTTTCAGATATCATAGCTTTACAAAATAAAAATAAAAAATAAAAATAAAATAAAAAAAGTGAAGTTTAGTTGTTTTCTGGGGAGAGAGGAGTGGGGTCACTGGGGTGAAGGAAAAATGGACCGGGCAGCATTTTTCAAGCTTCTGGAGTTCCAGTGTAATGGATTAAGTCTGAAAAGAATAAAAAAGCCCATGGTTATTAGATTCAACAGTAAACCTGAATGCTACGTTTGTCCTAAAGGACTTGTCCTAGCAATGATATGATAAGTTAGGTTCAAATGCAAATAGCAAATGAATATCAAGTAAAAAAAAAAAAAATACGGTTAGCAAAACCTTCAATAGAAAACAAGTCTCATCAACAAACTTCTGCAAACGTTCAAATCAAAATTACAATCTTCAGTTTAACTTTATATAGGGGCTAAACAACTCAAATCTTTTCTCTGATTTGATGTAAACCGTGAAACCTTCCTAAGAAATCCAGGTGCAGCAGTTTACTTCTTTTCTCCACCTCCAGCTGCCCTGTTTTGTTCAAATTAAAACAAACTGTGAGCACTCATACAGGAAATGGATGAATTTAACTATTTATTGCACAGATGAATAAAATCAAGAATTATAAAAATAGATAATCCACTGAGCAACAGAAATTAGGCTCAAATCCATTGAAACAAAGCGAGCAAAAACTTAACAATTTATATTACTGTGATTCACCTCATATTCCGGAGAACAAATGCCATCTCTTCATGCTTCTTTGCTCTCTTGTGGGTGC